TATTTCAATTAAAGTAAAAACTATATTTTATTATTTAATTAATAAGGTTAGAAAATTCCTAATTATTGACTAAGATTTTCGAATTTTTCTAGTGTGGAAAATCTGAATTTCTAGGTTAATTTGTTTAGTCTGATATCTTTTTAATTAATTATTTTATACAATAAATATTATTTACACGATTATTTTTAATTCCATAAATCTAGCAAAATAACTCCCTAAAATATACTAATATTTTCGAAGCTCAATATTTTCGGCCCTCATGGTTAAATTTTGGGTGATTTTTTTTGGAAAATTGTATGTTATATTAATTATCTCCTTAAAATCTCTTATTTTCCTTAATTTTATTTATCCATCTCCTAAATATTTGATCATCTTATTTTCCTACCTTATATCTTCCTTGATTATTCCCCAAGTAATCTCTTTTGCCATATTATTTTTCATGACAACAAACTTTCCTTAATTCTATTATTCTTAATCACCTTAATATCAAAATTTCCATATTTCTTTCATTCTCTTCTCCAAGTTTCCTTAATTCTTTTTACCATAATTATTCCAACATTCTCCTACCATAATTCTTGCATGAGCTAGCCTATAAATAACCCCTCATACCTCTCATATTCTTCACACCAAAAACTCATTCCCTTGTTCTCTTTTACTCTTCTTTTCCCTCAACCTTTTCCTACTTTTCTTCTCCTCTTTTCTAAAAGAAAATCTGTCGTATATCTTTGGAACCAATTTTCCAGCACTTCTGGTTAGTTTTGGGGTTTTCTTATTTCACAGAAAATTGTTTCTCTCAAAACATTCTTGAGGTTAGACTCAAGAATCACCCAATTCGGAGTTATATCAAAGGAGTTATGACCTCTGCAAGTTCTTCCTATTCTTTCCAACCACTACTAGATAACAGCCGATCAACGACGGAAAAAATCCGTCAGAAAACCCTGAAATTCCGTCGGAAATGCCCATTTCCGATGGAATTCCGTCATAAGGCACCGTCCCATTACATTTTGTAGGAATTTCGCGATATTCCGAGGGAAATTCCGTCGGAAAGGTCCATGCCAACGGAATTTGTTCTGTCGGAGTCAAGTTTGACTTAATTGGGAAGTCCGTCGCAATGTTCCGACGGAACATTTTCCGTCGGTATTCCGTCGGAAGAGGTATATTCTGACGGAATTTTCTGTCGAAAAAGTCAATAAATAAAATAAAAAAAAAAGCCCCACCCTAACCCTTACCCCACCCAGATACACCACTGCCCACACCCCTACTCACCACCCCAACCCACCCCACCACCAACCCACACCACCAGCCCACCCCTGCCCCCCTACCCACGCATACCCCCCTGCCCCCATAATAACCACGCATACCCCCCTGCCCCCTACCCACCGTAAACCACCCAGCTCCACCCCGTAAACCACCTACCACCACCAGCCACCACCAAAAATTCGAAAACCCACAAAAATCACACAAAAAACAATCAAGCAAAAATAAATCAACAGAAATAAACTAAAATTAAACAACGAAATCAAACATTAACCACACAATCGAAATTAACCAACAATAATAATAAAAAAAAAAAATCAAACCAAATTAATAGAAACAAAACGAAGACATACCTTCAATTCCACCTCCAAAACCTCGAATTTGGGATTATATGGTTAAATTCGATCATAAAAACTCCAGGTCTGAAATTTTTATGGTCGAATTTGACCATAAACACCATAATTGTTGACGACCACCAGCCCACACTCCACCGTTTGTTGTCGAAAATTCGAGGGAAAAGGAAAAAATCAAGAAGAAAAACAGAATGAAAATGGAGGAAAGGTGGAAAGAGAACGAGAAAGAAAACGAAAAAGGAAAAGAGGATGAAGGAGAATGAAAAAGAAAAAGAAAACGAAAAAGGAAAAGGGGAAAGAGAACGAAGGAGAAAGAGAATGAAGGAGAAAGAAGGAGAACGAAGGAACAGGGAAAGAAAGAAGGAGAAAGAGGAACAGAGAAAGAGAAGAGGAGAGGAGAGAAAGAGAAGGAGAAAGGGGAAGGAGAGTGGCGGAAATGAGGGGGGGTTTGGGCTGTTTTAGGGTTTGGGTTATAAGGGGTTTTTTTTTTTTTAATTAAGATTTCGACGGAAATTCCGTAGAAATTTTCGACGGAATATTAATCCGTCGGAATATTTGGGATTTCCGAGGGAATATTCCATCGGAAATTTTCGACGAATTTTAATTCCGTCGGAAAAGGTACGTTACGACGGAATATTCCGTCAGAAGCCTATAGTTCCGAGGGATTAATTTCCGTCGCAAGAATTCCGACTGATTTTCCGTCGTAACGTCCCTTTTCCGACGGAATTTTCTGACAGACCCTAATTCCGTCGGAAAGTTTAAATTTTCTGATGGAATTTAGGTCCGTCAGAAAACGACCTATTTCTAGCAGTGAACGCAAATTCAATTCTCTTTAATCCTATTCCTTTATTTTCTACATGGTTAGTTTCCTAAAATATAAATACCTATTTTAAAGTTATAATTTTACATTAAAGTATTATTTTTAAAAAGAGTTTTATAGTTTATGCACATTAGATTTTGGTTTTACGTCTAAAGATGTTGTGATTACCTTATGGTTATGTTAATTGCAAGGTGTATTCGTGATTGAACTTTAAAAGTGCGAAGTGTTGATTGATATTCGGAATCAAGGTACGTTTAGGTGGCTAGATACCTTCGAAAGTAATTGGTTTGAATAGCATGTTTATATGATTTTATTGGTGTTTGAATTAAATCATGATTTTTGTAAAGTTTGTTTGGAGGTATTGATTTTAATATTTGTTTTAATAAATGTATTTTTAAAGATTTGATTTTAATATCATATTTAATTTTTAATGGTTTGAAATTATTTATTATGTATAAAGGAATTTGGATTTAAGAAAAAAAAAGGTATGTTGGATTGTTTTAAAGAGTTTTTAAAAAGGTTTTTCAAAGGGAGAGTTATTGATTTTGAAAAGTTATTTGTATGAGATTTAATTCTCAAGTATTTATTAAAAGGTTGATTTTGAAAGCACGTTGAATTAAATAAAAAGGAGTTTTGAGTTAACCTATTATAAAGGTTGATTTTATTCAAAGAGGAATTTTATTGAATTATTTATTAAAGCTTTACAAGCATGTTATTAGTAATCTCACTGTGCGGATTTGGTAGATAAGATTTTGGACTTTGTATGACCAAGTCTTTCCTCAAGAATAGCCTTGCAATATAAGGAAACTAGTTTGGAGGGTATGCACACTTGGGTGAGGATTTGGTTTTAAAAAGAGGAATTGGTTTTATTGAATTGATTATTGAAATATTGAATTATTGGAATTAGTTTTATAAATTGTTTTATCGAATTATTGAATTATTGAGAATTGGTTTTGAAAGATGAGTTTTGGAATTTATTGGATTAATTATTGGAATTGGTTTTAAAAGCATGTTTGCAAATAAACTGAATTTACTTATCTTGCACTTATATCGTACTTAGCATATTTTGCTAATCCGTATTTCCTATTTGTTTTGGTTCGCCCTGTTTACCGTAATGGTAAGCAATGTTGACTATTTTCAGGTGGAGTCATGACTGAGCATATGGGAGTCCTGAGATTTGCTTCACCTAGTTTAGGAATGTTGGTCTTGTCTTTATTTTGAGTACTCATAACAATGTTACTATTTTTATAAGTATTAATAAAAGAAAGTTGATTTTCCGTTGCAAGTTTTGTTATTGAGTTAAGTATTTTGTGTAGCCTTGCGTAATCACGCGGCGGTAATACGCCTAAATCTATCTCTACAATATAATTATACGCATTACTATTATTTCCGTAGAGAGAGATTTGGGGGTGTTATAATAATCAAGACGTCATATCTAAATTTAAATAAATAGATTTAAATTATGAGTTTGAAACCTAATTATTGATAGAAAATAGTTGTTTACCCATTAAGCAACCAATAACTGACAATATATATTTATAAATAACTAGATAGACATGTATTAAACTTGTAAGGATTTTGCTAGTTGAGAGAAATATGTAAATCGGATAGAATCGTAAATTGAATTGTGTGACATACATAAATCGTAAAATTGTAAGATTCTAAGATTTAAATCCATACGCTTGAAAAAGTGACACTATTTAAATTATATCCGTACAATCCTACACACACTTGATTTAAAACATTATATGCCCATGTTATATTCATGTACCCTAACTTAGTTTGGCAAGTTTTAGTCGTCACCAATTGTTGTGAGCTTTGTGACCTTCGCTTGAATGTGATAATCTTCGATAATCGGTGTGACAAATTGACCATAAAATGTATATCACTTGAACCATCATACCTCTTAATCGCCCGCGCGTATAATTTACATATAGGAACACCGCCTCACGCTAATGTGCCCTACACATGACAGACAACGATTATCACAAGAGCATAACTTACTATATAAACATCTCAAACCTTAACTCAAGCAACTGTGCATGTGCATCATTGCACACCTCTCAATCTTACACATCTTTGAAACTCAAAACGACGTCAAGTACCATGATCTTGGAACCAATTGAGTCAAATTAGTATCCCCTCCAAGTCTAAACCACCATGAGTTGCTAGAGGTTGCAACCAAATTGTCCGAATTGGGTCATAATAATCCCTTCAATTCACCTTCTGTCATCACGACCTAAATCACATTTTCTCTAGATGCGTTGCTTGTATGGTGGATCGCTAAGCCATCAAATTCGTATGGACTTCTTTATTACTTAGCTACATTTTATATAAATGACAAACCGATAAAGATGTTCGACGTCATTATAAAAACTATCAAAACTTGGACCAACATCGGTCCCTTCCAATACTTGGCATCACCATAACAACCAAGGTTTTATGGGTTGCAATCATCATAGTCCATAAATACTTAAAGTGTCATGTTATACCAAATCGACGGACACAACACATTCATTGTAAACATAATTTAAGTACCTAATTCGCTAATCATAATATCAAACCCATCACTCCGACACTCTTCAACTCACGACAAGTAGATTCAAGGGTCCACTCACACGGGTGTTTTCTCCAAAATGCCCTTATTCAATCGTACTCAGGAGTCCTCCACACGGACAAATAGGATCATAGGACAGTAGGACACTTTTGTAGAGAGGACACACGGACTGGTGGACTATGGAGGACGAGAGAATGAACAGGGCACCAGGATCAAGGAAGCAGCTCTCATTGCGATGTCTGTCGTGCAGAGAAGAGTACTGCTCAACCGACGCAGGCACCTGCAAAGAGTGCTACGAAGAAGCCAGCGAAACGGAAGAAGAGCTCAAGAGTGAGATTGAAGATCTCAAGGCTAAAGTTGCTTTCCTTCGCTTAGGCTCTTCTCCTCTCGACTCCCACAAACGATCTTCCTCCATTGGCTTCTCTGACGTTGTTTTGGTCGCCTCTGATGAGTTTCACTCCAACCCAGTTTCTCTCCTTGCTCATAAAGCTGTTTTGGTTAGTACCCATTTGCTTGTTTTTGGGAATTTTGTTGCTTTTGGTAATTTGCTCAATTGCCCACCAACTGTTTGATGTTTTGCCTCAATGAGTTGGAATTTGCTTTTGCTCATTTTTTAATTTGTTTGTGTTTGATTGTTAATAGTAGATTGAAGCTGTTAGTTTAGGCAATTTTAGCTTTTTAAGTGTTCAAAAATGGCATTGTAAAGATCTTGTTTTAATGGGGTTTAGGGAGGTTGAGATTATGGCAATTTAAGGGTATATAAGTTCTAATACTGTCACTGTTATTGTTACTGTGCTGTTATTTTTAGGGTTTCTAATGTTGTAATCGCAATTACACTTGAACTTTTGAGTCAATTTTGTGGAAGTTGTGGTGGTAGTATATAAAGCATTACTTTGCTTAATTTGAGAAAAATTCATTGAAAGTTCAAGTTCATGGCTGATAAGGTCAAATAAGTTCAGTTTAGGGCCAATAAGGGCTGCGTAAGTTCAATTCCTATCGATAATAAGCGGAGTTTAAGGCCAATAAGTTCCATTTATGTCAGTGACTAGTAAGTTTATACAAGTGAATATATGAAATTCAATTGAAGAGAGCTCACCCTAAGTTATTATGGGTTTCAGGTATTAGTAATTACACACTACATTACCTGTTCAGATGTTTTTTGTTTGATTTTCCTCCCTTCGGTTTCTGCCTTGCTGGTTAACCTTGTTTGCCATTTTCCAACTGAAAAGTTATCCCCCTCTGAGCCCTGGGTTACCATTGGTACCGTTTGTCGATCTGCTGAAGTTACTGTAACATGAAGTCGGGATTAATGCTGTCAATGGCTGGTCAAAACAATACTTGTTGCTTTAGCAGTGCTTTGGATTTTGTGACTACATATCATTTTGTCAATCAAGGAATGAAAGTTCATATAGATTACTTTCAACTCATCTGACCGCTCTTTTTGTTGTTCTCAAAACATGGTTATCCAGGCAAGTCGGTCCCCAGTGTTCAAAGCCATGCTAGAGATTGAAATGGAGGAGAGCCGTAGTGGCACCATCAGTATCAGTGATGTGTCCTATGATGCCCTGCGAGCTTTTGTCAACTATTTGTACACTGCAGAAGCATGTCTTGATGAGCAATTAGCATGTGATCTCTTGGTTCTAGCTGAGAAATATGAAGTAAAACATTTGAAGATGTACTGCGAGAAGTTCTTAGTGTCCAAACTGAATGGGGACAATTCAGTTGCAAGCTACAGTTTTGCACATCAGTATAATGCTAATCACTTGCTTCAGTCTGCTTTGTCCATGATCATTGAGGACATGGACAACTTGACCAAATCAGAGGAATATACTCATCTTGTTGAGAAGGATCCAAGGCTTGTGGTGGAAATATACGAGGCTTACCTATCGAAACAAACTAACACTGCTGCTAGAAGCGATTGATCATGTTTAGTTGATTACTGACTTGTTGGCGATGTGGATATGTATTAATTGTGTATGTAATTTGTGTAGGGAAGTTTGGATTATGATTAGGCAGTGCACATAAGGGTATGAAGCAGTAGGATCAGTATCCTGCTTTCCATAATGACAGACTCAATTTGTGAGTATCATTGGCAAATTTTTGAGATCATGTATGAATCTCCTTTCACCCTTTCTTGATAGTTGATCACATTTTGTTAGTCTTTCTTAAGGAACCAAATTTTAAAAAATTTCATTCACTTATTAATAATTTACATTTCCACCAAGTCTTTGTTTGTATTTCATCATTATGGCCTTATGGTAGAAAATGGCTTGTTATTGTGGAACAACCAAAAATAGAAACGCGACCCATGTGGGGTGCAAGCTTGGGAGTAAATTTGACAGCTCTCCTTTCCTTTTGGTTGATTATTACTGTATAAAAGTAAGCATCAAGGATTCCAGAAAAGCTGATAGTCTAAATGGTGAACATTATAGAACAATAACATTAACTACACAACAAACTTTCTAGGTTGAATGGTTACAACTCACAAAGAATTTATTTTCCCTTGATCAGGGATACAGTGCAGTAAGTTCTATCTTTCTATGCTCCAATCTTTGGAGTTGTGATCTCAAAATCCAAAGTATTAGTATGAGACAATGCCTATTTGACTAAAACTATGATACAGGTATACTATAGTGGGATTAAACTATGCTATATTGACCCCTAGCTTGTGAACAATTTATGTGATAATTTGAGGAGAGAAAAACTTGCAAGATGTTTCAACAATTATCAGCTAAAAGGGGTTATTGTTTCTTGCTGCATCTCAAGATCTTCCAACTAGCATGAAGACCCTCGCCTGTGTCATGAAGAAAGCATACCCAGCTCATTGCAGCTGCAAGCTCTTGAAGCTCATCCAAGACAGAGATTGAGTCTCGTACATAAATTTTACCATCTGGTCTTAGTATACGATCCATTTCAAGCATGATGGTGGAAATATTGCATCTGCACAAAAGGGAATAGAAAAGGAACAAGAATTATTATTCTGTGTATTTTCCAAACTTCATCAACTTTTGCCAGAAAGGGGTAAAAGAATAAGCCAAAATTCCTTCTTGTAAGGAACACATGCTCTGCTAATATTCTAACTTTTTCCTCTCAACGGAAAAGAGACCGGATGCATGCAGCAAGTCATATGTCCTTGGGTAAGTATCAAATGACTCGCACCTGAAAAGTACAGCACAAGCATAAAAAAACATCAATCAGATAAAATTAAGTTGCAGTGACAATCAGAAGATGGAGGGAGTAATACATTATAGACAACATGAGCGTATAACCATGAAATTTCAAGTAGCTTTAAGTAAAGGACTTGGAAGATTTAGATTACAATAATACGCTATGTTAGATCAAAATTCAGGCAACATACCAGTCATGCATAACTCCAAGGAGACCACGATCATAGATTACTGGCAAGGTATTGAACCCACTGACTGGGACCACATTCATAACCCAACAATTAAGATCAAATTCATGTAATGCTGCTGCAAACCTATCAAAAACACATTACACAAGTTGCAAAATCTGCAAACTACAACAGCCAGCAATTATATGTGCAAGTTAACAGAATTGAAATTGGTGATTTTAAAGCTCTGTTTTAATACCCTGTAGATCAGAAAGTGCCACGAAGCTTTAAAAAAAAATAAAGAAAGAAAAGAAAAGGAATACAGAAAGGAAAATATACCCTCCAAATCCAGCCCTCATATCCATTACATTTCGTATCTTCAACTCCCTCCAGCGAAAGGCACTAATATAACTTTGAATAATTTCCTTCCAATATTTTGACTCTGCCTTCATGAGTTCCTTTCTGGCAGCGAAGGCATCCATCTGAATTGTCTGTAGTCTATCCGGGGGGTGATGTAGGCGCTCAGGCCAAGTGGACACATTAGCTCCAGATCCATTATTAGGTATCCTTGTAATGCAGGCCTTCAGGCCTACATACCTGTCAAAAATTTTGAGTTGAATTTATTGAGATAGTTGCAGTCTCAAAGTAGAGTAACATATCATCGACAGTGAACAGTGGAAAAGGAGAAGAAAGGATTAAATAATCAGAATATTGCTCCATGCAACCTGGACAGCTCTCCTTGTTTGTATAATATGGCACAGGAGAAGTCACACGTTGCTTCTCCTCCACTTTCATCATATATGCATAAATGTGAGAGACAATAATAAAGTAAAGTTACCAAACATTGTCTGGATCGTCTTTCGGGTCACAAAGTGGAGGTTGTGCTCCAGCTTCACGATTTAGGTAACAGCTGTTGTTCAAAGGCTTCCTCCATAAAGCAATATAACCCTCCTTTTTTATCAGTTTCCAGCAAATGCGTGATGTAAGATTCTCCATTTCTGTAGATATGATAAGGAAAAAAACAAAGGCATTCTTACCTTCAAAAGTACAGAATTAAAGAAATCTCAACTAACCACTCAAATATTGACCCAACTGAAATTTTGTTTTAAAATAAGGATTTCAATCACTCAAAACAGTCAACAGCCTTAGCAGCAGGGGGGGGGAGGAGTCTTTGAGATAAACACCGGTACTTGTGAAATTTTGAGGCACAGTTGATCTTCTTGATCAATTTACCAAACAAATCAAAATGGCAAAATTGTAAATAATGTGAACAGTAGCCACATGCTATTACCATTTTGCCCCAGGTTTAATGATGGAAAAGACACTTTTACCCTTACCAAACATATGCTATTACCATTTTAACCCAGGTTTAATGATAGAAAAGACACTTCTGCCCCAGGTTTAATGATGAAAAAGACACTTTTGCCCCAAGTTTAATGATGGAAAAAACACTTTTACCCTTACCAAACATATGCTATTACCATTTTAACCCAGGTTTAATGATGGAAAAGACACTTCTGCCCCAGGTTTAATGATGAAAAAGACACTTTTGCCCCAGGTTTAATGATGGAAAAGACACTTTTACCCTGTTGATTGACAAAATAAATTGATCAACAAGATCAACTTGTATTTTGCGGCATGAAATGTAGGTGCAATACTGGTACCTTTCCACTGTTCTTGCAATTTAACTTCATGCTTATAGACTGGCTGTGCTGCCCAAGCAAAATATCCTCCAGCTCTCAACATTCTATTTACTTCAAGAAGCAAGATTCCATCTGACAAGTAAGTATTAATGAGCAGAATAAATTTTACATCGAAAAAAAAACTGCACAGCTACAGGCATCCAATCATCAGTTTGTCGCACTACAAAACAAGTACAACAGCGAACCAATATAGCATCAAGGACAACTTGTCATGGTCACAATTATACATTCCCAAATTTAGAATTTAGAACAGAGAGCATAGAATGAGTGTGGCACACAGCTTTAATAAGTAAAAAAATCTCTTATGTCACAAGAGAGGGTGCCATCTCAATGAAGATGTTCAGAAAAACCAAGTTTAGGCAACAAAAAAAAACCATCACGTGTCCAATTTATTCTGCACCTTGAACAGTGAATCAAATCAAAAGCTTGACTTGGATACAACAGACGGTGTGTTGCAAAAACTGAAACCATAGCTGGCACACCACGCTCAAGTGCAAATTGAATCTGGTTCTCATGAACATCTTTTGGAGCTATAGAAAGAGTGCTAACATTACGCTGCAGCAAAAATGCACCAAAACTAGCCACCCCACAACCAATATCCAAGACAACTCTGGTATTATGGCCAAATTTTATGTCAGGAATCATCTGCAAATCCAGCACCCACCAGACGGGGTCAACAGCAGATAATTCCATACGGGTAAGAAAAAAACTTTACTTTGTATTGACAAAATGTTGAACCTGTGAAATTTGATCCAAGTATTGATCAGCACCATGAATAAATTGTGTGCCACCACCAGGAAACACAGTTTTCTCTCCCTTAATTGATATCCAATTCTGGCCTCCTTTATCTTCAACCAGCCGTGTGTGAGGTATATTATCAAACCATACCTACTTTAGAGTAATGTTAGATGGAAGAGATTCCTCAGGCCAATAAAAAGAAGCAAAAATAAAATAAAAGAACTTCCTCTGTTATTTAAATCTTAATTTCGCAATGTATTCCTTTTTGAGAAGTTGCAATTATTTTGCAACATTTCTTTACTCTGCTAATGGTTCTCTCTATCTACTTATCACATGGGTCCCTCTATCACTCTCCTCTCCTTCACATTGAAGTTAAAAGGGAATGCATTAAGTACATAATAGTATCTCTGGGTGATGCATTGTATGCTTTGGCCTCTACCCATTTTAGAATCTACTGTTGCAAAAGGAGTATCTAGTGTTATTACAAGGGAACATAAGTTGTGCTGATGTAACTGGGCATATATTAATTTGGAAGAGAGAATATTTTAGAAAATAGGGGGATCCCCTTGAATGGTTCTGCTCAATGATGAATTTTCTCAAAAGAACATCTTCTATTCATTTTGTAATCCAAATTTCCAATGGCCCATTCAAACTATTGAGTATTGACTACACCTTCTATTATATTCTCCTTCCTAAGCTTACTGATGTGGGTTACTGAAGCTGCAAGGCAGCAAACAACTTAAATCTTAAAGCACATATTATGTGATAGCAACAATTACAAGGCATTGTAATGAATGATGCCATCAAGGCTCCAGAATCTAATATATGCATTCTGTTGGTCCGACATATAAGGAAATTAACATAGCATAGTATGAAAGCAGGAAACACACACACACACACAGAGAGAGAGAGAGAGAACCACTCCGTACAGCTGAAATGTTTGGTAGAACCGCAGGTCTAGTTATTGAAATAATTCAAGTTTGAAATGTTAAATTAAAAGACATGTTTAGTTAAATTGATAATCCTTATCAGATTGTCAAGTTTTGGATGACAGAAAATTGGATAAAATACTACACTTTAGCTAGCTCATCATTATACATTCATTTCAGCATATCGCCAAACAGCTCTAAATTACACCCTCAATTCGACAAAACACAAAGTCATCAATGCAACAAACTATAAGAGTTTAGACTAGCAACAAACTCAAATTGATCATTCTTTTCTTTTGGAGTATCAGGAGCCACTAAGGACACTGTTGTAGCCTAGACGACTCATAACACACAGATCATGGGATACAATCCGAGTACCTCCCGCATAGACTTTAACCAACTAAGCTAGTTTACATTCGCAACCAAATTGATCACTCAAACACCCAAACATCAAAATCAAAATTCAAGAACATGAAAGCAAATCATAAATTCAATATACCTCATCACGGCTTTGAGGCCACGGAATCGGAGACCGGTAGTTCCGAGGAGCAGGAACCAAACAATCCAAACCTTTCCCAATCTCAGGACAATGCCGCTCAAATCTCTCCCCTCTTTCCGTCGAATTCAATCGACGAATCACATCAACATTATCCAAACAAGGAATAAACTCCCTCATACTCTCATTACACACCTTATACTTCTCCAAAACCCTAAACCTGTTAGAATTTAGGTGAGTGGAAGTAGCGGTGGGATAAAATTTGAAGTATTATTGCATGGGGATAGCTTACATTTGCATGACCAAGTGCTAGTATATATAGTGGTGTAGGTCGGTTTACATGCTCCTTTACCGACATACTACTCTACTCCTATCTACTAGCTTTCTCTAGATTTCTCTTAAGACACTAGGCTATTCTAGAAATATCTAGCTAATTGTAGATTTTACTAATTAGATTTTTCTAGATTACATTTTTAACACTCCCCCTTAATCTGAAAAATCTTGTACTTTAAACTGTACGTCGTCTTCTCAAAATATTCTTTCGGTTTTGTTGATGCTCTTGTCACCAACGGCCTCTGATGTTGTTTCTTCTTGTTGTCACCGACAACTTCTAATCTTGACTTTTCTTCTTGTCATTGTGTTGGTACTCATGTTACCAACCTTAATTTTGTTGTTTAATTTTGGTACTCGTGTTACCATCTTTCTAACTGATCTGATGCTCGTGTCACCAGAGATCTCCCAAATTCTCCTTTCGAATATATCTCCTTTATTTTTTCTTTTAATTTTGGTGCTCATGTCACCAAATATTTCTGCTAATGCACTTGTCATTAGCAACCTCTTATTTTCTTCTTCAAATTAAGCTTTCTTCATTATCTTCCTTGCCAAAATTGGCAATTTCCACATCAGCTTTCTTGAACCTGCAATTCTTTCCAACATGGCCGAACTTTTTGCATATCCAACATTGTGCTTTTCCTTTGAAGTAGCAATCCGCACTATCATGATTAGTTCTCTTACAAATTTTACAAAATAATTTATTCTCCATACCTTTGTATTTTGGTGAATCTTCTTCATCTTCACCCTCGACCTTCTTCATGGACCCATTTCTCTTGATTTCCCCTGGTTTAAGGGAAAATTTTGCTGCAAGCGCGGTCTCCATCATGTCTTCATCATTACTTTGACGAGTTTTTCTTTGTTCATGGGACTCCAGAGATCCCATAAGTTGTTCAACAGTTATGTTGGATAAATCTTTTGTTTCTTCAATTATTGTAACTATATTGTCAAATTTGTCATTTAATGATACTAGAATTTTCTTCACAATTTTTTCATCCGAAATTTCTTCTCCATATGATTTCATTTGATTAACAATCTCAATAATTCTTGAAAAATAATCTTTAACCAAGTCATTATCTTTCATCCTTAAATTTTCAAAATCTCTTCTTAAAGATTGAAGTTTAATACTTCTCACCTTGCTATCTCCCTGGAACTCTTGTTGTAGAATCTCCCTTGCCTCCTTTGCTGTATTAGCCCTCATAATTCTTGAAAAAATGGTATCTTTCACCGCATTTTGTATGAGATATAATGCCTTTGCATCCTTCATCCTTTCTTCCTCAAGTCTCTTCCTTTGAGCATCACTTAGGCTGCTTTCATCTTCAGGTTCATTATAACCTTTGTCGGCATAGCTCCATAGTCCATATGACCTTAGCATCGTCTTCATTTTAATTTTCCAAAAATCATAACTTTCTCCCCCAAAAGTTGGAATGGGAAAACTCACATTGTTAATTGCCATTATATATTATGTTGTGTTTGGGATAATATGTGTATGATATTATAGGAAGGCTATGGGTATTGTGGCTCTTGATACCAAATGTTAGAATTTAGGTGAGTGGAAGTAGTGGTGGGATAAAATTTGAAGTATTATTGCATGGGGATAGCTTACATTTGCATGACCAAGTGCTAGTATATATAGTGGTGTAGGTCGGTTTACATGCTCCTTCACCGACATACTACTCTACTCCTATCTACTAGCTTTCTCTAGATTTCTCTTAAGACACTAGGCTATTCTAGAAATATCTAGCTAATTGTAGATTTTACTAATTAGATTTTTCTAGATTACATTTTTAACAAAACCTAATTTCCTTCTTCTTGTTTTCTTTCTACTCGTATTTCCGAGTGATATTAGCAAGCATTTCATCGGAAGATAAAGGGTTAATCTCCCCGACATTGAAGGTATCAACCATGGCGCCATTCTCGTCGACAATGCCTGTTCTCTCGAGCACCGGAAATGGCGGCAATGGCTGTGAAGGAGAGAGACTTTTGAGGGGAAAAGGGGAGGAAGAGAAGGAGGAGAAGAGGAAGAAGAGGGAGATAGAGAGGAGAGAGAAAAGAGTGATTTTGATGAAGGTTGGAGATTTGAGAAGGTCCTTCAATGAAGGTGAGTTGAAGTTGTTCGTCATCATCATTGGACAGTGGTTTCGTTGTCATTCAGGTGGTGATGGTGAAGTATATTTAGGAGGTGGGTCCCTGTGAATACGAAATTGTAGGGTCCATAACTAATTAACTATAGTTTGTCGACATTTGAAATGGAAATTGAAAATGAAAATCTGGCACAAGTCAACCTAATCCAGGTTGGCCAGAAAAGTTTAGAACTGGAGGAAATGAATAGATGGAGTCTTTTCAAAAAAAAAAAAAAAAAAATTGGAGTAATGAGTGTATTTCCACCTTTGGATTTAGGGATGGTAGGTGGGTATAGAAATGCGGGTCTCGCACCGCACCCACTCCAGTTGGGACGGGTATGGGTGCAAGCTTGGCGGGTATGTAGGTGGCCAAGGTGGGTATGGATACAAAAGTCATACCCACCGTGGGTAGTGGGTAGGTGGTGGATTTTGAGCTATACATGCTTATTACTCGCATGACCAGCCCATTACCCGCCTACCCACCTACTTACCCGCATACCCACCCAAATACCCACATATTGCCTACTACATTGTATATTATGCTATTATATTATATATTCACAACAATTTAAAGTGTATAGTGACAAGTTATATAGGAAATTTATTAAAAAAGAATGTTGAATTGGCGGGTAAAAGGCGGGTGGTGGATATCCACTTGGGTGGTGGAGCGGGTGTGGGTTTGGTTTCTACCCGCTTAGACGGGTGCGGGTGTTGAAATTTTACCCACCGTGGGTGACAGGTAGGTGGTGGGTATAAAATATTTTGGCGGGTGCGAGTGTAGGGGAGGGGGTACCCGCACCGCCCAATTTCCATCCCTATTTGGATTAAACGTTATAATGAATTTTTTTTTTTTACTTTGTATTATTTTTGGTGTAACTAGGGTGGCTAACGCGCGAGTCATAGCTAGCCATGTCCGGAAGTTTTTTCCGTTAGGTGCTGTTAGTAGTGTTAATTAGGGAAAATAGGTAAACAAATATTTTTTGGGTTTAAATGTCCACACACTATTTTTAAGAGTTAAAAAAAAATATCATTCAATATTAATGAGGAAAATATGTAAATAAACATTTTTAGGATTATAATAATCTCAGCACTATTAATAAGAGTTTACTCATACTTTTAATAAGGCAGGAAAGAGGGCAACAAATGACAGTAATGTAGATGAGATTTGATCTCAAATTTTGGATTTTTCCTCTCAAAACTTTGATCAATGAAACTAGTTTGATTGTGGTCTTTTGTGGAGGGTGATAACATGAAAATAGTATTTTTTTTTTTTGTAGGTAAAGATGAAGGGTCCTCCTAATTATACCGGGCCAAAACCCCCTCACAGATCAACCGAGCCTGAGTTAGGGGATTAGGCAATTTGGGAGAGTGAAGGGGGGGGGGGGATAAGGGAATCCCATCCCTCCAAATTGTCACTAATGGGGATTGAACCTCCAACCTCGTGGTTGGAAGGTAATTTCCTTTCCACTAAACCAAGCTTAGCTTGGTATGAAAATAGTGATTAGTAAACGTTATAAATCAGGTCTAAAATGTATAAATCTATATATACAAAATGTTTGATAAAAATAAAATAAAATTATGCATTATATGACTATATGAGCTTAAGTTAATTTTAATTAAAATTGCGGTATGCTTCTATGTAATATTCAACTTTGCATTTAGTATCCATAAAAGAGTCCAAAACTCATATTAATTGATTCAAAGCATGGAAGATACCGTAATTAACAAGAATTACTTTTTTTTTTTAATTTATTTAAAGATAATTAATAAGAATTACTTTATTTAAACTTGATTCTTAAAATTATATATATATATATAAATAACAGTTGAGCAAACTTCACGGTAAAGTTGAAATATCACTCTCAAAAGTTTGATCAACTAAATTAGCCGCATTATTAATTAGTGAAAAAAAAGGGGTCAATTTTAACAAATAATTAATTTTGCCACTTAGACAAGAAATTTCATCAACATTCAACATTTTAACACCAAGTTCCATGTATGCAACATCGAAGACCAACTTGAATAGTAGGTCAACGTTTTTGGATTACATGATAATTGCATGCATTGAATTTGATTTTTATTTTATTTTTGAAATAGCAGCACAATTGGTCAACCTAAGCCGTACGTGCAACCGTACAACTGTACAAGGTTATGCTTTTAGCTCCTGCATGAACCATTAATAAATAAACACGTGTCCATGCATTGTGAAAAGTCATGGTTTAATTTCCTCATTTTTAATTTCCACGGAAATTGCTCCTTAATTACTTGGAACTACCTTGGAATTTAGTGCATGCCTTGACCAAGATAAATTATAAACATCATTTGTTGAAAGGTATGTACCCTAAACGTGTTGATTTATACATTCGTGCCTATAGTTATGGTAATGCCTATTAAATGGAACGCCAATCTTGCAAATGTCAACTAATATTATTATAACTTAACATATGATATTATTGCACATGTTATTATTCTTTATATTATGGATTTTAAAAGAAACCTCATCATTTATATGTTATCATATAGTCAATCATGCTTAGTGGAGGTATTGAGAAACTCACCTTATCATGTGGCCAACCATGCTTAGTGGAGGTGTTCGGCAACTCACCTTATGATATTTTGGTTACAAGTTTGAGCCCCACAATCTACATTAAAGTGCTCTCGGCCTAGGTACATGGACAAGGGCCCTTGGGGGAGGGGAGGGGAGGGGGAGGTGGAGGGTAAGGGAATCCTCTCCCCCAAATTGCCTCTAGTGTCTAGTGATGATTGTTTTTTAACAATCCCTTCTACTAGACTAAGTATTACTTGATATTACTCCGTAGATACTAATTGGACTACACCATTCTTAAGATTATGCGTCATTAATTAAGAAAACTTAAGAAAATCAATCTTGGACATTTTTTTAATCACTGTTTACAATTCACTAAAAAATAAACAAATTACTTGATAAATAAGATAAAGGCTAGTCACGCCCAATTTACAACTTTGTTTATTTTATATTTAATAATTTTGGCTAATCTTATTTTTGATTAATTTGTTTAAATTATGTAATTTCATTTAATTAATAAATTTCTTTGTGCTATTTACATGATTGTGATTAGTTATTTACTTGGTTAGTATTTTTTTTTTTTTTTTGTGAAACCTGGTTAATATGTTTATTTTATATTTAATATTTTTGGCTAATTATTTTTGATTGAATGGAGGATGATTTTCTTAGAGATGTTTTGGTAGTATACATACAAAAAGAGATTGTTGTAGATTTTAGTGTTGAATCTTTGATTAATTATTTTGCTACTATGAAAAATCGTAGTGTATGATTTAACTAATTTGTTTTTGGTAAGAATAAAATATTAGTATATTTTAATTTTTTTCCATCAATCTATTGTCTAACAAGTTCAGCCCCCATGACTTGAAAATTCTGACTTCGCCCCTGGGATTAAGCATACTTTTAAGATACCCGGCCTTCTATTTACATATACCACTTAATTTTGTGGTCATGGATAGAGAATCAAAATTTTGTAAACACAAAGCAGGGAGTATATAGAGAATCAAAATATTTGTGATGACCACATATCTTGTATTCTTGTGGAATGAGACCACTACAAAAAAAATAGACATTTAGCAATAGGTCAAATCCGTTGCTAGATTGTACTTTTCTGTCGCTAAATATAGGTAGCGACAGATTTTGAAACGGAATTACTCTATTGGTAAACCTGTTGTCGCTAAATGAGACTAGCGACGTTTTATTTGTTTTCCGTTGCTGGTTTTAGCAACAAATTTTTATTTCTATCGCTGGTTTTAGCAACGGATTTTTATTTCCGTCGCTGGTTTTAGCAACAGATTTTTTTATCTGTCGCTGGTATTAGCAACGGAAAAAAAAAATCCGTCTCTAAATTTAGCAACGGAAAAATTATTTTGTGTCTATATGTAGATGCTATTCGGTTCGACCTCACTCGGGTCAACCCGAATCGACTTTGCATGTAAGGCTCCTTAAATCCCCAATCTCAAGAATCGCAATAGGTAGGAGTCGAACCCGTGACCTTATAGTCACATAGTGAAACTCTTATCAACTATACCAAATATTATTTGTTTATTTCTATGCACATAATTGATAATAAGTGAAAGAAAAATTAGAGCCGGAATTTAAAATCCGTCTCTAATTTAGAAACGGATTTTAGTTTACATAATTCGTCGCTAAAGTAATATTTTACATAATTCGTTTTGAAAATAATTTAGAGACGGAATTAAAAATCCGTCGCTCATATCAGCAACGGAAAAATAAAATCCGTCTCTAATTTAGCAACGGAGAAAAAAATCCGTCTCTAATTTAGCAACGGAAAAAAAAATAATCCGTCTCTAAATTTAGCAACGGAAAAAATCCGTTTCTAAATTTGCAACGGAAAAAAATCCGTTTCTAATTTTGCAACGGAAAAAAATCCGTTTCTAATTTAGAAACGGATTTTCAATTCCGTTTCTAATTTAGAGACGGATTTTTTAATTCCGTCTCTAATTTAGTAACGGATTTTTTAATTCCGTTTCTAAATTAATTTAGAGACGGATTTTTTAATTTCGTCTCTAATTTAGAAACGGATTGAATTCCGTCGCTAGAATTCCGTTTCTATATGGACATTTTTTTTGTAGTGGACCAAACAAAAACTAAAGATGTGACATTGCTTCCGCTTGGAAATGACCCATACCTAAAAAGACTGCGCATGTATTCGATTGGATTTAACTGACTTGTTTGATTTTGTATTCATAAACTAAAATAAAAGATTTAAAAAAAATATTATATAGAAATTATAGAATTCAAAGTTGTCAATCAATATTTATGTCAACATCTTCACAATAGAAAAAAATATAATTTCCGTCCATTCTCTTCTTTTTCCTTCCTTTCCTTTACTTCACAAATATTGCACCAAGCGAAGTGTAGTGCACGAATTTGTAATACTAATATTGCTTGTACGAGATTAATTGCATTGGGCTTTGTCACAAGCAATCAAGGGAGCCGTATAAATCCGAAAAGATGTATCCTGCTCAATCATCCATCGGCATATAACCTATGGCAGAAGAAATAGAGGGAGTTTATTTACCTATCTGTTTATTTTACTACAATAGCATTTCTTCCGGTATTATTTTTAGGGTAATGCTTATATGCAGCCCTAAGCATTTAAGTTGTAAATTTATCGACAATTTACGAGTAAATCGGTGTAATAAATGTTTATTTAATGTCTATTCTTTCCACTTTTAGCTTTCTTAAGGCTGCATATATCTTTTTCTTTACTTTTATAGCAAAAATTTGACTTTTACACAAATTATATGCTATATTTTACCACATGTTTTTATTAATGTATATACTTCCTCTGTCTTTACTAATGTAAAAAATTTAGTGATCAGAATTTTGCATTTAAAAACTTGACAATTAAATTGTTGCAATTTTAGGAAACAGAGGAGGTATCAAGTACGGAGTATATTCCATGTGTTGAAATTTGGATGATTTTTTTTAAATGATGCCCATGTCATCATTGCTTGGTCATATTGAATGACTTATTCATTTCATTTTCTTCTTCCGCCTGTTCCCAGCAGCTAGTTTCGGCTATGAAAGAAAACGTCCATTGTTCATTGCCACCGTTATGAGGTCGACAACGATCGTATAGAATATAGACATAACTAAGTTAAGCAATTGAAATAACATCTAACTGAAAGAAGCCTAGATTGTATTTTATAATAAGATCGACAAGAAAATCTAATAAGCTTCAATGACTACAAATCACAAATTCATACCAAACAATGATAAGAAATGGATTTCATATTTAGCCCATATTATTATTACACAAGCTCAATGTGCAAGCATCATTGATTTAAACTCACTAAAATCTACAAAACCATCACTATTAACATCATATTTACTTATAATTCTATCACAATCTAACCCACCAAAATTATCCCACATTCCCAATTTCCAAAGCACACTTTGAAGCTCTTGAGAAGAAATAAGTCCATCACCATTCAAATCAAACACCTTAAATGCCTTATACAAGTCTTTATCCACTTCTTCTTCCTTCACTTCATCATTATTATTCTCACTTGACCCTCCATTTCCAACATTATTACCCAACAATATCATGTCATAAAAATAAGAAAACTCATCAAAGTCCAAACCTTCCTTACCCACCAATGAAGCTAGCTCGTCTTCGCTAACGTGTACACCGGTCTTGTCTAGTAGCCAAACGAGCTCGTCTAGGGTTAACAAGCCGTCTTTGTTTTGGTCGAGGGAGTTGAACATTCGTTGGACGTCGGATGTGCTTAGAGAAGCCATGGTGACGCAATACATGTATGAGAATGCTAGGAATATTGGTGGAAGATTATATTATTGTATGGTATTTTTTTCAAGTTGTTATGACTTGTATTTAGATTACATGAACGAACATGTATATATATATACAAACATAAATGAAGGATATATATGAATATCATAGACACGTTACACGTACATAATGTCAGCCGATATTGATGAATTCGTTAGAAGGTATGTAACCACAACGATTCAACGAAGGTCACTAGGAAATTTCTAGGAAGACGATGAAACCGTGGGAATATTATAGCTTTGATATTATATACAAGTAGTAATATTTATTATTACTTTGATGAATATTTTATTTATTTGTATTGTTAAAATAAAAATTGAACCTTCAATATTTTAGCTTTATTACCTAATAAAACAATGAAAACAATCAATTTTGCTCTTTGGACTAAATTTAAAGCTTTTAGCTCTCTTATCAATTACGAGAATAACATAAATTTTTTGACAAATTACGAATTTAACCCTTCAATTAACTAAAGTTTAGGTATAAACTATAAACAATATGTGGCCAGTGGCCCTACCAAATTGGAGGAAACTTTGTAGTGTGTTAGGCACACTCCATGAATATCATTTGTACTTGGTATTATACAAATTTCTCCAAAACATGTTTATTTATATATAGATCTTGCTATCTAACACCTCCTAGACATCAAATAACCCTTTAAAATAGTTTCTAAAATGGTATTAATTCAGAAATATATTCCAAAATCACGTATCGATCGATGTAATTAATGTTTATTTTAAGTTAAAATTTCTACTTTTAATTATCTTATCCAACGCCTCCGAAACGTTCGTTAGATTTTGCCTTTATATATTATCCTTAATTTCTATTTAATTTGTTAGGTAATTAGGAAGAACAACTCTACTTAACCGGTACTTGTAGATTGATCAAATTTTAAAGAAAATTTTCATCATAAGGTATCTTGGATTTTCAAAGAATGCACTACATTTCCTTATGGTTTCATTTCATAAATGCATAAAATACCCTTAAAATTTGATTAAAAAAAAATTGACTTTAATTTTTGCACTATTTGTATACTAACTTTGACTAAATATTATTATTAATAATACAAGTTTTTAAGTAAAAATGTTATTGTATTAGTGCAATGCATACATTCATAATATCAATTTAATAGGCTTTTACTAATAAACCATAAAAGATATTGATAATCAAAGTTATGCACCGACGTGTGTTAAAGTGATGCACTAAAAAAATGGAAGAGGTATGACCTACATATTTAAAAATAATACTCTCTCCGTCCCTAATTTACATGTCTACTTCCCATTTTACACGAGAATTAAGAAACTTAAAAGCCATGATTGGAAAGTACAAATATGTATGTGGGGTTAGAGAGAGATAGAAAGAAATAAAAGGTAGTTGGTAATTATTGAAGAGATGGAGAGAGAAATTGTTAGAAAATGATATCAAAATTACGAAAAAAAAATACATCAAAAAGAGAGAATATTGTCAAAAAGTACATTCTTAAAATAGAAATAGGCATATAATTTTAAAACCCTCAAAAATAAAAGTAGACATGTAAATGAAGGATGGAGGGAGTATAATATGAAGTATTTCCATAATGCTCCGTACAAGTTACAACCAAAAAAAGCTAAAAAGTATGCTATCCTCACATCATTATACGTCACAAGAAGATATACCCACCAGGCCACCACCATCTTTCTTTATCGTCCAAAATTGGTTTATCTACGGAATACATCACAAAACAAGGACGTTAAGTATGATTTTCAGCCTAAATTTAACATGGCCTACTCATTTCCATAGCACGAATAGTTTTATGAGATTTTTCGACTGCGCATGATGACCTTTGAGTATTTACTCCGGCCATGACATTTACAAACCTTGGCGAAGCTTTAAAAAAGAAAAAAAAAAAAAGTGCAACCGTCCATGTTAGTTTGAAAACTATTTTCTCATATACATCGTACACATGACATATCATAATTGGTATATCCGTGTGTACCATACGCATGACAGTATAGTTGTTCTTTTCATTTTTTTATGCATGTTTTATTAACCGGGTGTGTATCAGATATATGCATGATACACCAGTGTATATAATGAAAATTTGAGAAATACCAACCACATAGTGGTGGTGACTCCATTTTCGCTATTAGTATTTTAGTGGGGCATATGTAAAATTGCTAACACCAATACAATTTTTAATTACTCCGAAAGGTCTTTAGTATCTAGTACCGCAAGGTCTCAAGCTACAATAAGTGTGAGTGAGTTTGTCCAACATTCAAAAAGAAGGTAAAGGGCTTTCAGTTTATAACCCAAGTGAGCTACTTCTCCTATTGCAATGGATCGGATTCAGATCGGGGGTGGAGTTTCACCTGCATCCATCCATTATTCTAATCGCTCCATCCACATCCATCCGTCACCCGCTTCACCCATCTTCCATATCCGTCCATCCATCATCCGCGGATAAAACGGGTGGAGCGGATGACTAATGGATGAGCATTAAAGTGATTTTTTTTTACATAAACTCTAATTTTTGGATATTTATACAATAATTTTTTAAATTTTATTAATAAAAAAAAGGAAACAATAACAACATATCGTTTGAAAAATTAATTTGCAACAAAAAAAAAAAAGTAATTTTCTTGGATATTTTATATTTTATTATTAAAATTTTTAGATTAAAAATTTAATACGAAGTATATGTTAAACGGGTGGGTGGATGGTTAGCTGGTGAAAAAAGTATCATCCACATCCGATCCGATCTGTCACCCGCTTCTCATCCATTTAATTCGGGTTTTCGTCCATTTATTTAAAGCGGGTGGAGCGGGTTAGCGGATATCCACTTAATATTGCCATCCTTAGTCTTAGGATGGAACCTCATTGTGGGGCTCTGGTTTGTGGGCTTTTGGGCTTCTCTCTTGTGTTCTTCTCCATATGTTATAAGAAACTGGTATTAGAGCTAGGTTCGATCTAGTCGCACCATCTCTTAGGGGAACCGTCTGTTTAAGGTCTTACGGTGATAAGGGACCGTTTGTAAATGCCACATTGCCTTAGAGTTATGCTCTAAAGGTTCTGGATGCGTTTCTGTTCAAGGGGGAGTGTATAGGCTTACACTTGAAGGAGGGATATTGTTAGGTACAAGTGTGAGTGAGTTTGTCCCACATTGAAAAAGAAAGTATAGGATTTTCAGTTTATAACCCAAGCGGACTACTCCTCTAATTGCCAATTGATTTTAGAATGAAATTTCGTTGTGGGCTCTGATTTGTGGGCTTTTCTCTTTATTGTCAATTGATTTTAAGATGGATCCTTGTTTATTTAAAGTTTAAACTTTAGAAAATATGTGAATGCCTACAAAGGTCTGCCTTACCTTAAAAAAATAAATAAAAAAAATAAAAAAAAAAAAGGGACTTGGATCCGCAAACAAAGATATGGCCTTCCAAGAACCGAAAGGCGTATGACAACAAAATCATTGTGGATGTTGATGGGAGAAATGCAAGATGAGGCAAGATTATTCTAGGCAGAAGATAATCAAGAGATATACAATACGTGGTTCAATTCGTAGTCCAAAAGAGAATCACGAGTTTTAGGATTGAGGAAATAGGGATGGAAGCTGCAGCATGCCTGCAAGAGATAAAGACGTCCATCAACTAGTTAGTTGCTTGGTACAACACACCCACTTCACTACTCAATTTTGTCATTTACTCCGTACTAGATAAACAACAACATTTGCTAAATAATTTAGACATCAACTATCACGGAAAATAACACACAGGAGTACCGACCAAAGTATTATTTCAAGGCATTGTAAAGCCATTGAAAACTACTCCGTATAATTTTAATCAGTAAAAATCAAATTTAAATATTTAATCCTAATGTAAATTTTAATTAGTTTTCTATTTTAAAATCTTTTGTATACAATAATATTTCTCTCCTCATTCCTTACTTGATGCTTATAAAGTTGTTATAAGTATCAAGTAGGTATGGATCACATCCGTCACAAATGTTCATTTTATAGGTTTAAGGAGGTTTCACCTCAAAACCATATGACAACGAGGGGATACAGAAATAGTCCCTTAGCCTTATAAAATGGACACAACTTTCTTATTTCTTCAATTGGTATATAGTTATACGCTTTCCAACACTTTTAAACTCTTTCAATGCGTGAGACAACACTTTCACTCACATGTAAGTTTGCTCATAGGTTCAACACTCCCCCTCACATATGAGTTGTCCAAAATATTAGCCTAGATCACAACACAACCCAACATGGGCTCTGATACAATAATAAATGGGCCCAAGCCACACTCGTCACAAGTGTCCACTTTACACAACCAAGGAGGTTCCACCTCAAAATACCTTTTGTATGACACTCGTATTATGTACATTCCACTAACCAAGCCGGATTGATGTGTGTGAGATTTAAATAGATGTATTAATTCAGGTGTTCGGATCGGGTTCGGTGAGTTCGGATCGGGTCTAATTTCAAACTCGAGTCATGCTAAATTATTGTGTCCATACGAGTTGAAACCTGAATCAGATGTTTTTCGGGTTGGGTCAGGTTTTGACACCCCAAATTCCAAATTGATAAGACAAATTCACTTGCCTACCAAAAAAGGGTGAAAAAAGGAACCAAAATTAATTGCAACAATAAAGCAAGCCCTAAAATTCTATACAAACACTTGTTGGGTGATCATGCTAACTTGCTAAGGTTCCTTGGTAAAGCATTCTTCGCAATAATAGAGCTAACCCGAAAAGTATTTCTATCTGAAATCTGATGGCTTGCTATCTGTAATAGGCTTCCTACTGTAGACAGATTATTGATTTGGAAATATTGGAATATAGTTCATTTTAATGTTAGCAAATTATGTAATGTTTGCCATGATTGTATTGACCATCTTTTCTTTCGACGTTCTTACTCTGCAAGCATCAGGGGAAGTTTTTGAAACTCCTGCATTTCCAAAGATCACCTGCAGTGTTTCATGAAAAGCTATATGCTGCTATCAAATATGAGAATTGGCGATAAGTACAAGCTATATGTGATCTTTTTCAACTGAGAGCTTGTACCATATTTGGCTGGAAAGAAATCAGAATGTTTTCTACAACAATTGCCATAATCCTGATGCTGTCGTAAGGGAGATAAAACCCCAACGCAGCAAAAGAAATTAATGTTTGTTTAATTGTAGCCTTTAGGCATTATGATTGTAATTTTTTAAGCTGCAAATGAAGGGTGAGTCTCCCAGCTCTTCCTATGAGGTAGGGGAAAGTTTATACTGATGCTTTTGCTTAGAACTTTACTATCTTTTTGCGGTTGAAATTTTGAGTTATTTCTGAACTATACTAAACTAATGACTAGATTATCATTTTATGACGCAAGTTTGAAAAGGCCAACCTGATTCAAGACTTATCCACAGCCTGAATTCTTCCCAGTTTGAGTCCCCAAAATATATGTACTTCGTATATATATTCATCAGTTGCACCTCCATGAAAGAAAATAACATCAGAAGTGACAGAATCCTTTGATTGCAGCATATGGTCTCGAAACTTAACTGCAGAGAATCATCTCCGATATCAAATTACCATGTTCATCAATTATACACACAAATATTCCAGTATTTTGGCCACTTAGGTCAGACCCATACATTGAACTAGTACATAGCTCATAGCCGGACCTTGTAAAAAGAACTCTACCCATCTAATTGAAGAGCTGAAAGTATTTTTCCAGTCCATCCCCATAAAGTTTCAGCTCTTTGATGGGCTTTGCATATTCCTGAAAGTCTTGGCAAAAACTTATTCTGATTTGAAAATCAGAAAGACAATGCAATGTAGATCTAACGTAGACACGGAGAGTGAAAGATCAACTATAGCTTTCTGCAGGCTCTTCAAGGCATAGGCTAACAATAAACCTTTTACGTTACTCTCTTCATCCCACTAGACCTGCCCCATTTGTTTGACACATCTCTCATAAAAAAAAAAAGAAGTCAAATAGGGCAATTCCAGAGGGATGGAGGGAGGAAATTTTGTTTACCTTGGAATAGTAATATGAGTTCTCATAGCCTCATAGGATGCTTGATTTTAAAATCACTACAATTTCTATAGTAGTAATTTAAAGCACATCCAAAAACAGGTGTGTCAATTATCATAAACTAGTCCAATGATAATTGTAAGCTAAAAAATTTGACTAAAAAAAACAGTCGGGATTGATATGATGAGCCACATAAAGACGTTGCATATTGACAAAGCTTTGACTTGAAAAAATCAGTTGGGATTGATATGATGGCATTACATAACATTCTTCCAAAATCATCACAAATTACTTGAGCAAAGTAATCAGTAAACAAGATTGAGCAACAGACCTTGTCATCCAATGGAAAATTTGCAATTACAAGCCTTCATACGGCGTGTTTGTACTTCCACAAATTAAAAACTTTTACTCGTAGATGTAATGCTTATGTACAGCAACCCGGATAATATAGACAGCATATTATATTTAAGAAAAAAACATACAGAAATCTTCAGACTTAGCCACTTAGCCTTCACCTACCAGACATCCATGGCGCAGGAATAAGCTCTTCTCATAGTCAGTTGGAACAAATCCATATGGAGGCACTATTTTCCTCAGCGAAGGCCTTGAAAAAACCATCCAAGCGACAATGTCACGACTCATTTCACGACACCAATTCAAGTTGATTTCCTTCAACCTACCACAATGATAGACCACTTCTTTCACTCCTTTGGAGGTTACTCCGGAGCAACCCATGATATCCAAATACACGAGAGCAGGACACTTCTTTGCAATCATCAACAACCCTTCATCATTAAGGCCTGACCCTGATGCTCGAAGAACTTCTAATTTACGAAGTTTTGCATCCATGCCGAGACTTTTAATTGCCCCACATCCATTCATCTGTAAATGCTTCAAACCAGTGCAGTTGCGCAAAATTTCACCAATGCCTTTCCGTGTGATACTAGGACAATCACTCACATCTAGTAGCTCTAGGCTTGGGCAGGAATATGCAATTTTTTCTAGACATTCATTGCTCAAAGTCTTGTTGCAACTCAAAATAAGAGCTCGAGTCTGTGGGTTGGTAGCATTACTGACAGCAAATTCTTGCTTTCCCATGTCTGTTTTCTCCATTTCCAGAATGTCCAACATCGGACAATTCTTAAGCAAGGTAAAAAAGCCAGAACTCGTCACCCTTGAGCAGAAATTAAGCTTAACAGTATTAGCCTTACGAAGGAATTTCGACAAGTCAATAATGGTTCGATCCGTGATCCAGTAAACACCTTCCAACGCCAAATATTCAAGGGAGTGATAAGTACGCAAAAGCGACAAAACCCCAGAAAAGGTAAAGTCCTTACAATGGTACAAAGTAAACTTCCTCAAAGGGATGGAAGCTTTAACAATCGAAAACAGCAATCCATCCGAAACAGCCATATACGAAAAATCGAGCACAGACAAGTTCTGAGCACAAGCAAACAAATGAGCAATCTCAGGAACACCCAAATCCATCCCTAAAAGACCAACAGATTTCAAATTCCTACAATTTTGGAATGCAAAAGCCATCCCAACTTGAGTAACAAAAGTGCAATTCTTAACTACAATCTCCTCTAAATTCAAGCATTTCTCTGAAAGACTGATAACAGATTTATCAGAAACAAAGTAATTTCCAGACAAATTAACCTTCCTTAACTTAGTTAACTTCGAAGCAATCAAATCAATGCCATCATCAGTAATCCCTAAACCACCCCCAGAAACATCCATATCCCCATCCCCAGTTACACAATAATCATCCTTAGGATCACTAACATCCAACTCTTCCAAATTAGCAATAAACTGCGAAATAACCCCTAAATCCGAATCATTCAAAATCGAAAGATTACGCAACACGAGTGATTTTATAGAGCTGAGAGATGATCTGGGAAGTTGTTGAATCGCATTACAAGGGAAATAAGTGTGATTAGAGAGATCAAGGGATTGAAGTGGAAAGTGCGCAAGTGAAATTAACTGAAGAATCGAACAGGGTTCGCCATTAAATTGAGAAAGAGAGATAATTTTGAGATTTGGAAATCGATGAAAGAGTTTAGGGAGGAAATTTGAAGTGGGGTTTGAGATAATTAGGGTTTGTTTGAGACGATTTGTGATTGAAAGAAAGGATTTTGAAACGAGGGATAAAGGTTCTAAATATAGATCATGATCTAACAGTGAGATTATTTGTTCCCAGATTTCTTCTGGGACATCAACAATATTTCGATCCTGCATTTTTTTTGAATGAAATTTCAATCAATACTTAGAAATTTCAAAGAGAAAAACTTAAATTTACCTGAAATTTGATCTGGGGTTTTGATTTGTTCTGCAGGATGAAATTGAGAAAAGTTGAAGAAGATCTGGGTATTTCACCATAATTTATCTGAGTGAGATCGTATTCTGTAGTACAGACGATGATGAAGAAATGAAGAGGAAGAAGCAGCCAAGCAAGTGTGAGTTTGACGAAAATTGTACTGCAGTAGTGTTGTACAGTATTTTTCATTTTTCTAGGATATGATTTATGGACACGTGGTGGGTCTTGTTCGTCATTTTACAAACCCAATTCCAATTGTTTATAGAAGTACGAGTATATAGTTTTGGAAAACAACGAGAGTATGGAGTAGCCGAGTAGTGACCTTATTATAAAGTTGTCCATTTGGCTCGATGGATGGGGTTTGGGGCGAGTCGGGATAAAGTTGTCAATTTGGCTTGATGGATAAGGGTTGGGTCGAGTTGGGTTTAGGTTATATTTATGTACCATATAAATTAAATATCAGATTGAGTCAATTTTAAGTAAGGTTATATCTAATTATGTCGGGTCGGTTTTAACACTCCTAAATCTCTAACTACTGCTTCCATTCCATAAAGTTTTTTCCATTAATAAGTTTTTTGGAAATTAAGAAATTTGAGACATTACATGATTTGTAATTGACGTAAATTTCGTGCATCGAGCGTGCTTTCCACCCTAGTTTATTGAAAAGTTCACAATTCATATTAGGGGCAGATATAACAACAATTGTTTTGTTGTATTTAGCTTGTGTGTCATGCTAATACATACGGAGTAGTTGTCATCTTATGAGGCACACCATTTGACTAAAAAAAATACTTGTATAATGAATGAACTACATATAACGATTCCACGAACTTGAAAAAAATGTACGAAGTATATACTGTCATGTTTGCATGTGTACTTGGGAAAAACCTATAATGAATGAACTATAACGAATGAACCACAAGCTGAGTATTCATCTACAAGAACAATTTTTAAGCTCCCTTTTGACCAATTTTTAAGGTGGCATACAATGAATGAATAAATGTACAGTTGAAGAAAGCTATGGGAACCTCACACACTAAACTAAAATTTTATCTTTATTAAGTAAAAGAAAATGCATCAAGGCTTCATGGAGTATTTTCCAGGTTCATGGAAATTTCCTTCAAGTTGCTCCACCTTATTTATTTTAAACCCTCTAATCCTAATTTCTTCAGGAATCGAAGTGTCCTTATAATCAACATTTTCTAAGATCCAACCCGAGTTTTGCACCGAACCTTCCACTTTCACCTGTGAACATAAAGACCAAATGTGAGAATACAACCAACGCGAACCGAATTGGAAAACTTCCCATCTTTATTCTTTCTATCTAGAGTGCATGTAGATTTGGTTGCTTAAATCATACACATTGTAATGGGTTTTAGGAGTAACCTATACTAACTATGCATCTTGCCAAGAATTATGATTAAGTTCATACCTCTGCATCATCAATTGAATCCACAACAAGAGCTCCGTCTAAGGAAAGTTCTTCAATGAGTATATTCTTGCCCTTGAGAACCATGGTAGACTTCTGTGAAATGGAGCAATTTTCTTTGATTTTTCTTTTTACATCTGAAAATGTAAGTGCCCATTTTGGCTTCCACACAATCCGAGGCCACACCTCCACTTCTTGTCCATTAAACACAAGCATTATTGGATCATCGATTTGGACACCCGCCTAACAAAGGAAGTAGTTGATTAAAAGTCGGATCTAACAGTTTTCATAGATATCACACCCTCACGGTGGTACCGAAGTAAAACACAAAAAAGTGAAAAGGAAAAAAAAAAAAAAAAATCCAAACGATTAGCATGATCAACGATATAGATACCTTTCTCAATATAAGGCTGTGTGCCCTGTAGATAGCCATTTCACCAGAAGTTGCACTATGGTATGGATTACCCTTTGGAACCTTCATCAATAAGAGAACCATCAAAATCTCATCAGTCTTCAAGGTTACAAATTGACACACTCCCTCAGTTCTCTTTTTTATCTCCCCATTTACTTTGGTCAAACTCATAGAAAAAAATTATCAGGTGAAATATGAATAGATTCATCTAAATACGTAGTTTCATGATAGTATCAACTTTTTAAAAAATTTACGAATATGATATTAGAAATTTCAATGGCCAATAAAAATGTAGTAAGACATGGGGAAAAAAAAAAAAAGTAAGCATACACCACAAACACTAAAGACAGGAATCTAATTAAGTAGTAGGCCACTTAGATTTTAGTCCTATTGATTAATTCTGACATTCACTAAAGATGACGCAAAGTTTGGAATATGAATAAAAAAAAAAACGTGCTTTCACAGAAATAAAACCACACAAACCATTTCTATTGAGGTTTCATAATTCATCATCAGAGGGCCTAATATTTATATTGGAAAAGCTACCAAGCATTCACTCATGCAGACCATGTGGAATTGTGGATGAAGTTTTCATGGATCCATTAAAATTTAATTCCATGCTCACTCTACCCACTTTTTTTCCCTCTCTGAGTCTCTTCTTAAATTAGGTTCACAGGTTTTTTTCACTGTAAATCACCAGCACACAAGCAAACCATGGTATATGAAGCTTCATGCTCACTCCACTCTCTTTCGCTCACTTCTCAAATTCGAAATCTATTTAGGGAGGTAGAAGCAGCTAAGTATTCATCATCTTAATTCCTTATACCACTTCCAATGTACAAGTAAAAACAATTTACCTTCGCGGCATCCTCAGGATTGTTCTTCACAGGTGCATAAGCAAGCCATATGTCCATCACCTAAGCAAAAATGAATGAAACAAGCAAATTGTGTCAAGATATTCCCAATAACAAGGATGTTTATTACACATAGAAAGGCTGCAACTTACGGTAAACCCAACCCTTGCAGTTGGAGGCAAAGTCTTAGGGTAATCTTGCATCATGCACTCCAATCTCGTAGAAGACTTGAAGGAAGTTTTTGTAGCATCCTTATACCTACACAAGGATAGATTTTGACGATTAAAATCTCACCATCATATTAACTGGAAACAGAACAGTGTAGCAACAAGAAAAGTGAGTTTATAATTGAACTTCGATTTCATGGGCAAACAAATTTTAGTGAAAAAAATAAACAGCAGTCTGGAATAGAATTGAATGACAAATATAAGAGCAAATTTCAGGAAACAGAAGATTACTTTGGGTTAACAAACTCTTTGATGGCACCTCCTGTCTTCTGAAGTTCCTCAATGTATGATTCAAGTTCCAATATTAGCTGCAGAGTAATGTCACAACCTCAGTGGTCAAAATTATAAGAAAAGTAAAGCAAAGCAACCACCCCACCCCCTCCTCAGAAAGTTAACAAATCTCTACCACCGGCATAGAATGCCAATTAACCACCATTCTATGTATCTAAAATCATTCAGTATATGCACATGCACCTTACCCAAATGCGGGCAGAGGCAGAAAATAACACTTACTTTGAGAGGGGGCATGAGGATAGGAAAGCAATTCAGTTCAGACTTTACCTGATTAATATTTCCGGGAAAAGGTGAAAACCCATTCTCAGAGTTGACATCTCCTTCAGGATTGATAGTTGCTTGGAGCAGAGGGTCAAGTTGATTGTACTCAACGTTGATCACCATTGTCCTCCCTGAAGTTCACCTTACACAGTCAAAAAATTGTAACATAGGAACATACTGATTACTGCATTTACAAGTGCATTAATCACATATATGCGATCTAATCTTTATCCTAGAATACATGCCAATATCACAATACACTCGTAGTGAATGACCAATATCTTTATTGTAACACAATGGCAATACCCTTGGCATCCCCATGGAGCATTAATAAACTTATTTGGTCATAAAAAGCACTGAAAATACATGAGCAATACCAGAACATAGTCATTGTCTTATAAATAAATACTATTCAGCTTCAAGCACAACAAAACCAAAGGAGAACAGACGCTGAGAGATTATTGAACCCAAAGATGTGACATTATCCATGCTTTAGTGAGAATGGAAAGAGTAATTATCAAGTCACTTTTGGCAACAATAGATGCTATTTTCTTGACCAAAAAGAAGAAAGGGACAATAATCTCTTTTAACATCCCATTCAATATGAATTTATTGCTTAGTCAATAGGGAAAGATAAGTATGCACATTGCTCACCCATCACTTGTAAGTTGTAACACCTATTAATATTACTGCACCCCAATACCCCATATTATTTTGCACACTTGCTTTCTTTGGTTGCCCTAAATTAATAGCACAAAGGTCTTTTCAAATGCACTTTTACTTTCTTCATCTCTCTGCAACCACTGAACCACACTGCATAAGCTACATGCCAAATACAAGTGTGCAAATTAATACGGGATGTAGTATTTAGGAAGAGTGTTAAATTCTAGGAGTTAAAACTTATGCACCAGATTACAATAAGATGAATGGAGTGAGGTTGTGATACATATATTAAATCTAATGTAATAAGTTAGCTATATACCATCAGCATGTGTAAGCTTAGCAATGCCTCCAATAGCTTCTTTTGCTTTTCGTGGAACAGCAAGAGAATTAACCTGGTACTGTCTAATGGCACTGACTCCCAATGATGCTGGAATTGCCTACAATAGCAAAATTATAAAGAAAAAGAATGAGGTGACAAAAAAGGAAGTGAAAAAACATGCTCAATCAATGTTGTTCTGGCTCTTCATTAGCAGTTCACACTTAAGTTGATGCAAGGGTATGAATTATAGAATAACACATAAGGTCGGGGTTCAATGCCGTTGGGATTTAGGAGTGACTCAGAATCAAACCGAACAAAAATTTGTCAGGAAAATGAGAAAATGAAGTATGGACAAAGGAAGGCCCCTAGGGCTGGAAACATGACACCAAAAAAAAAAAAAGTTAAGTGAAAATACACATTCGACAAAATTTGCTCAAGCTCTTCATTTCCTGAGCAAACTTTAATCATATTGATGCATTGGATATAATATTTTAAGAAAAATAAAAAGCACACAAGGTCGAAGTCCAATGCTGTTGGGAATGACTTGACCTCAAACAAGATATATTCTCGTCAGGAAAATAGGAGAAACAAACATTTAGAAAGAAAGAAGGCCAGCCAGAGCCATGCAGAGTGGAATGTTTTGACTAATTCACGAACTAACCAAAACTCAGTTAGAATTACCTCTTAAAGCACAAAATCCCTAATCTATAGTTTAGAAGATAAAATAAAATAATGCATATATTGAAAGTCTAGAAACAACTACACTATAAGATTCACCAATTTAAAACAGAAACCTAAATCCACAACATGGACCTATCCTAAAATATACTGACAATGTGAAAGCACCCTTATATCATCATATTTAGCACATTATACTCCCAGTGTCCCAAATGCTTGTCAGTATTCAAGAAAGATCAAGATCAAAATACAAGGAAATAACAGTTGTACTATAATTGTTTGCCCCAATTTTTAAATTTTATCTGTATTCATGCACTAGTTAGGTTGTCATTGAAACAGGAATCGACAATTGATATATTTGAAAGGTCTTAAAGTACAAACTGTCAACAAACCAAATTAGCCATTATTTCAGTGATGCATACCAATTTCCTTTAGGGAATTGGCAATTGGAGTAGGATTGAGACACTAGAAATTGTACCTTACGGCTGTACCTATATAGTCACAACAGATTAAGTCCCAGTGCCAATCAATTTAACAATACACAATCAAGCACCTACATCAATCTGAGAAACACTGCTTCCTGTCAGACCAAAAACCAATGGGGGAGGGACCAATGAGCTAAGCTAACCTTGAAGAGAAGTCCATTTGTATCTTGAAAGAACAAAACCCATTTTACACCAGAATCATGCCTAATTACAAGGCATTCAAAAACAAAAAACAGAATTCAGGCTTCCTCAAGTTAACAAATCAGAATTAAATGTGAGTAGATTCTTAAAATAACACAAAAATTAAATGCCTTAGGGCAAAGAAATAGGTTTGTAAATCAAGCAAGTGATATAACAAGAAACTATATAGCTTCTGTAATTTACAGTACAAAAATGTATGAATCCCACAATAAGAAGAATACATACCATTTGTTTAGAAGACCACTTGAATACAAAAGTGAATGTACATCACCATGGCCATGAGGCTTTGTCTGCCACAACCAGCAGCAAGAAAAATTTAGTCCAGGAGAGGTTATATAGCTTATGGTTATATACAATTGATTCCTATATGTGACAATATATTTAGCACCTGAATTCTGTACTTATTTTGTGGGTCCACAGCAAGCCTGGCATCATTATCAGCCAAACAAGCAACTTTTTCCTGAAAGAGTTCCCATATGAGCTGCTTATAAAATCAATATTCAAATAGTTCAAGCCCCAAAGTGTTTAGCATTACCTGCTTGAGAAGGATGACTTGTGATGGTTTCATTCCAAAATAAGCATTTGACTCCAACAGCTCCAATGTACGTGCATGAGTGTCATCAGAAGTCATAATAGCAAAAGGAATCTCCTTTTGAGGTTCACCTACAAATTTAAGGAAACCTTTCAATATTAACTAGGCACAGAATACAAAATTATTACAGAGCAAATTGATTCACTTGGCCACAAGACATTAGTCATACATAAATAAAATACAAATGCTTCTAAACAGAAATTGTGACGGAATCAGATAATCCTTCAAAAGCAGCACATATATAGATGCTCTTTAACAAGGTTAACCATAATAATTCCTATTAATCTCTTCATTCGAGAATAAACTCCAGATGGGGAGCTCAATACTGTCAGCACTCAGCAGGTAACCACATAAACATCAGAAGCTACTGAATTCGTTATCAGCCCATCTGTCACTAACTCACTACTTATATCTCAGACAAGCTCATTCTGCTTATCAACTTTGTTGTCCATTATTTTTACATGGTATAGTCTGAATTTCTCATTGTCCTCTTAGGCAAGTAAACATGTCAGCAGTGGGATAAATCAGGAGCATTACAATGTAAGAGGAACAAGGCAACCCCACTCAGACAAGAACGACTAAGGGTGGGAAACCTTCTAGTCTTAATTTGTATCAGCTACACAAATGTGATAAAAAAAAACTTCAGCGGCATTAGATGATAAGGAGGCCTTAAAAATTGTTTTGTTCCTATATCTGGTTGACTGGTTCCACGCTTCCACCCTCTCAGTATGTTGGAAGTCCTGGAACTCAAAACTTCTTTCATGATTTCTAAAAAATGGAACAAAAGCATTGTCGTTGCCACCACACATTTCATTTTTCTTTTCTACCTAAATCCCAGATACTTCATCTAAGAACCAGACATACCGTACAGCCCAGCATAGAGTCCCTTGCTCACCAAATCACCTAGCAGTGACATGTCATTGATTTCTGAAAGGAAATTTTGATTTATTTTCATTATGGCCTTTGGAGATTGGACACACTTCTTGTTGAAAAGCTAGCTGGCATCAGAAACTACAAGTGTAATTAGTGATCTTGTGAAGAAGCTGTCCTAGTAATGCGTTCATTGAGGCAGAAGTTCAGATTTCGAAATGAATACATATAGTGGGAATGGAACATGTTAAGGAGGAATTAATTAGCTAATTAGGTTGTCATAGACAGACTCACAAGAAAATACAAATGATGAATAGCCTCTTCAATATGGAAGATGGGCAAGTGTAAGACAGTAAGGTGCATTTATGACCTGCAGGGTGAGATAATAATTGATAAGGATTTGGTTCCCACTATGCCTATTCAAGCTGTTACTGATGTATACTTGGCTTCACATTTGTTTTGGCACTCAGAAACTCAGATCTTTAAGAATCTGAGATCTAAACAATAACTTCACAAATTTAAGGTGAGAGATGTCTGTTCATAATACAAGTGAAACAGGGAAGGAATATAGTCTACTGATCTACTCCCTTGTCAGCTTGTCTAGCAGTTTGGTAGTATCTCTTTCAGAAGCAAAGAAAAGCTCATTACTCAACCTATTCAAGGCAACACTCTAAAGTTTCTTTCAATCAATTAATATCATCCCCTTAGCTCAAGAAGTATATTACAAAAGCATAATGCCCGAAGATATTGCCTGGCCCTCTGATAAATCCAGATCCTAACATCGGAATAATGGCTTGCTAGGCTTCACTCTGAAAGGTCCTATTTCAATGCGATAATTAGAAGTGCTACAACACCAACAGACCAGCAGAATGAAGAAATAACAGGATAAAAACCATCTCACATTGGAAGAACGTCAGCCCCTATTTGGCCCATGCACAATTTAATAATATACACAGCCTGAAGCAGGTAATTTTGGAACCAAGTATTTATCTCCATCTAGATACCAAAGTGCATTTTTCACTTTCCAACTTGCATTATCAAGGTTAGTATGATAATGTTCAGAGATTTAAAAGAGGATCTCTCAGAAAATCTAGAGCTAGAAAGGGTCATCAGGCATGCAAGAGAAACAAACGGATAGCACTTTCAAAAACATGGAAATCAACTTTTACAAAATATATAAATTTACAGTAGAGAGTATTTTGCAGCACCAACCTTCAGATAGTTTGCAACTAGCTTCTTGAAGAGCAAGAATAGACTCTATGTACAGTTGTAAGAAGCATGTTCCAGAGGAGGTTTCAGAAGGAAGAGCAACCTGCAAGAATTTTCACAGAGAGCAATAGACTCTAAATTAAAGTGACTGTCAGAAGTTACGAAAGAACACATCTATGCAACAAATTTGCTTTCTAACAACAATAGCAAAATAAAAAGTCCAAAATTTTCATGCACTCAACAAACAATTTGTTGTTGGACATAACAGACTAGATACCACAGTATAAAAGGAGATGTAATGAAAGTGGAAAAAGGAACATATAAAGTACATATCCATGAGGAAATGGTGAAAGAGGGTGATTATTGTCATCCAAATGCAAATCACCATTATATAGGTTGCGTAAGAAAATTCTGAAGCAAACTCTTCTAGAACCGCAATAAATATGGCAGCGTTTGACAGTAATTACTAACAGATGGAAGTTAAAGATAGTTTGCTCCCACACTTGCTTGCTTATCATATTCCCTTGGGGGGGGGGGGGGAGTTGAAACATGCAGAAGATTTATCACCTTGATTCCGTTGTATCCAAGACGTTCTCCAAGTCCCCCAGCAACAAGAACAAATGCAGCGTTTTTTGCTTCCTTGACGCCAGCCTCTTCATATTTGATGAAGTTCTCGTCAGCAAAAGTCAGATTTTCACCTGTTGGAACCTATATGAAAATTATCAAAAAAAAAATTGTTAAGAAAAAAGGATTATATTAACAGCTCAGAAAAAGGAGAATAAGTACAAGAGGATAAGCAGTTCTCTAAAACGGAAAAAGTAACTAATGGATACAGATTAATCCAGTTTTGATAAACTTAACATATTAATCAGCTGCTTCCACCAACAAGCCACAAACAGCAACTCTACATATTTCCTATCCAATCAAAACAAAGAACATCGATTGTCCCTTCTCAGCACATCAAATATTTATAGTAAACAGATGCATGTTGGACTGTACAAAGTATCAAGTTCAATTCCATGAGGTAGTACAGCTAAAATCTTGAAAGTAGCAACCCAGAAAAGAAAAGAAAAATATATAAAGCACATGAGTCCTTCGCCTTCTCAAAATAGTCTTCATCTTTTCCCTTCATATGATTCTTCAGTGACATTGTGTAATTTGTAGTACCTAACTTAGACTGAAAATATTGTATGGCACGAGCACAGCTGCTTTAATGGCTACATTGTTTTCAGTTGAGACAAATTCCATGCATCTCACTGTGGCTACTGAGGCAGCGATCCCCCTTCTTTGACTTCCTTTTTACCACTTGATATATACATACATCAGATTATTATTTAAACCAAATTCCTGACACACTATGGCCTCTGCAACTCTGCCTCGATCAGTGACTCTTTCACTCTCATTTTGTACTCTTAGTTGCTCCTTCTTCAGATCTACTCCAGCAATCTATCCTCAGATAATCAAGATCTGATGGTGATTTTTTTTTTAACTTCATAGTTAATTTCTTTTTCTTTCTCTATATTACACATAGAAGCCCTGATTAAAACTTCTGGTCACTAAAATGTTCAGCCACTAAAAGATTTCAGGTAGCTTTTATTATAGCCTTATGGGAATGGCTGGATTCTGGAATTCGGATATCATCTACCTAATTCATAATCAATTTTGAACTAGGTGCGCAGATCTAGCAGGAAGCCAGGCAACACCCTGGACTAGGAAAAAATAGCTTGCTTTACTGGCTGGGAGAGTGATAGTCATGAGACTCACAACTATAGTCTACACATTAAGGAAGGGCATACGTTGAGGAAACCAAAACTCAAAGGCTAAAACAAGTAAGCAATGGTAGCATGGACAGAATTAATATCAGGAGCAAGTAACATTTAACAGTGAGGAATCACAGGGTTTGCTAAAATCAACTGTCAGTATGAAACTCGTGACTTACAGAAGGTGTAAAACCATCAAAGGGGTTCTTTCCAGCCTTTGAATCTGCCAGAAGTTCTCTAGCATTTTTTATATATTGCACCAGACCACCAGGATAACTGGCATTAAGGCGAGCAACCTGGAAAAACAGCTAGTAACATTTAGAGGTTGTAAAAGATAACAAAGAAGATAGCACTACATTAAAAGCAGTATCTGCAACATAAAGCACCACAAGGACATCAATTCACAGTCATCTTCTTCATAAACATGTTTCATAAAAAATCAACTTTTGAATAAAATAAAGCCCCTATCAAGCACATTATGCAAAAATAATATAGAATTTTTTTTAAAAAAAAAGGATGAGAGAGACAGAGAAAGCAATATATGCACTCCACCATTATATTCTTGTTCTATGATACTCAACACTTCATTTCACTTCAAGAATCCGTGTTGGATCCTCAATACTACACCATAGGTCCACTCAGAACTTTTTAGAATGTACACGTGTCAGACTATTAGGTCCTCAATACTACACTATTAGAATGTACACGTGTCAGACTCAGACATGAGTATCCAAGTCCAGGTAACATAGGTTGAGTTTGTAATACAGATTTTATTTTTTTTATTTATCAGTTGCAAATCTTCTCAACTTCTCATCACAAGGACGCCAAGGAATTGTCTCCATATATAAAGCTTGCCAGGAGAAGGAAGGGAGGGATTGAGCATGCCATCAAACTCATATACCCTAGGAAACTACATGCATCAATGTGGAAGCAACTCAAGAAACCCTAGAAGGTTTAAACTTTTTAGTATGTTTTCATTATTAATGCAAAAAAAATTAAATAAATAAATAAAAAATAATCTTAGACTACAAGCTAGGAAGTAGAGCCGAGGACTGATTAAACAAACAGTAGCAGGCTAGAAGCAGCAGTAACAACAGGAGAAGAGCATTTTGATTGTTTCTCAAACTACATTGGTCTAGTTAATTTAAACCAAGATTTGTGTTTTTGTTTAGAACTTATGCAGTCATCTTAACATTTGTAAACAGCAGCTGCAGCATGTTGACAGTTGCTATCAATTTCAGATTAACCGATTTGGAGTATGAAGGAGTCTGATCTTTAACTGTAAGTAAAAGAGGCCTAGCTGTAATATGCCAATCATTTAGGATAAACTAGAAGGTAATTGAAACAATATCTGAAGTCAGCTGCAGGAAGCAGTTAAGAGCTTCAATCAATCATCTGCAGGACGGTGACAAAGGTAAAGCTTACCCCTAGTACATGTAGGACCGAAGTTCAGATTTTAATTATAATGTGACAACTTTTTCATAATGATTAGCCTAAAGTGAACCCTGAGATTTGAGAAGTCTATCATCTGAGTTGTTTGGTAAGTTAAAGATCGTCCAACACTAGAGAACCAGTTCCCAACCTCAACCTGTTCCTTTGCATGACCAACAGGAAATAGAGCTACAGCTGGTCAGCTAGGAAAGATGAAAGAGTATTGAGTAGAGAATATTTTTTTTTTTATAACTTTGGTATATAATGGACCAGATAAGCACACCCACATTAACTATCCTTCGCTTGTTAGATGCTACGAGTATAAAGTAGCAAGCTAGCCAATACCTTTTCGACCACAGGTCTGCAAACAGTAACCTCTTCCAAGAATCCAAGTCCCCCCTCCATGTCTTGGGTGAGAGCTCACCAGAGGCATCGGTTATGGTTCCATATGGTATGGTATGACATGAGGTGTAAGTGTAACAACTAGAAAGCCCACGCATCAAGGGCGGACATTTTTACAGGGGAAATGCTTGAAAGAGAATCATGAGAATGATGAATATTATTTTATTTTATGTAGAATAATCTAGAGGAACAAAATTTCATGTAACCATCTAAATTACATAAATTTAATACAGTTATGGTTACTCTGTATTTATTGCTCTGTACCTATTATAAGAGTGAACTTTGAGCTCAATGTAGCATATGCAGTAATAGTAAGTACGGAGTAGCAGTTTTAAAATTCCACTTTTTTGGGGAATTTATACAAGGCACATCGTTCCAAAATAAATGCTTCACTCTCCTAAGAAAAAGTACTCTACTTTCCATACCTGTTCACAACAATTGTATCAATTATCGAGTAAAATTATGATATTTGCAGCGAATTCCTTAAATATTATCTCTAACCCATAAATGTGGCCGATTAAAGCGAGACGAGGAATTATCAAATTATCACATATCAATATATTTTTAAACAAATATAAGAAAAACATAGAAAAAATCAATTTGAATCGAATTAAACCTGATCGAAAAAGGCTCGTTTCTCATCATCATCAACACCAGGTTCAGGCCAATTATCAAACAAATGACTCTGTCCATTCCGAATCAACACTTTCGCCAATTCAACCTGAATTCAATTCAAATAAAATGCTACAAATTCATTACCAAAATAACACAAATTAAACTTCAAGATTAAACAAAAATGATGATGATTGAGATCAAATTGATACGCACATGATTAGGAGAGAGAATTTGAAGGTTTTTCTGGAGATTAGGACAATTTAACTCGGAAATGTCGAGGTTAGAGAGTTGATCGGCGGCAGAATCAGCCATTGGAGAGCAATTCAGGGATCGCAGACAGAGAGGAGAAATCTGATAAAATTATCTGGATTTAGAATATTCGAATCTGGTGGAAACCGGAAGAAAAAGGTGCTTTTGGTTGTTTAAACAAATATAAGAAAAACATTTGTTAGTTGTTTAAACAAATAATTCTGGATCAATTTAAGACTTCACCTTCGAAAAAATCCCACATTAATTTATGATATTTAAATAAATCAGGTGTACACCAATTGTCAAATCAGTTAAAAAAAAATGATTAAAAGTTATCTAGATCAAATTCAAACGCTTGATAACAATCTTATTATACAAAATAGAGTTAAAGTTCTCCAAAATTGGAAAACAGTATGCTAAAATTATTCATAGTCCTAATATTATACAAACTTTTGAGCTGATCAATCATGACTTAGTGTCACAAAAATTTATCTCATCACGGACTTAGGAGTGAGAATTCCCTTATTTTACTTCCTCTCTCCCAATGAGTAACACCTACGAAGTTGTATTGAGTTGACATGTAAAAGATGTCCTCCTTATCTTAGTAAAAAAAATATATAGCAATCATGGTAATCAGATAAATCCCTTATATATTTCATAATACATGCAGTGATTTGAAACATCTCCCGGGATTGAAAACAAGTTACTTTCCATTATTCATTCGACGTAATGTTAAACTCCAAACAAAATTATGAAGAAAAATACGTGTTTGGATATGAAGTGCAATTGACATGGACATTAGAAGAGTGGAATCCTTTACCAAATTATATTTGAATCAATTACCATTATAATCACCATATCTTAAGATGCTTATCAAATGGAAAGACCAAAGAATTGAATATCAATATAGAAAACATCCTTCCTTAAGTACTCCATCTAATTCATTCTATCCTTCCGTCTTCCAAAAAGTATACATCAATCTGAAAAATAATAATCTCACCTTTGTCATTTCAGCTTAAAACAATCCCACATTTTCGAAATCTAGAAACAATCCCACCTTTTCAAAATATGAAAACAATCCCACATTTTCAAAATCTAGAAACAATCCCACCTTTAATGTTCATATACTCAAAACAAGCTATTTACCGGATTATTAAGTTGGTAACCTATTGAAAAATGTTATATGCCACTTTGTCACTTTCTTATTGTCCTATTTTTTTAAGTAATTAAATAAATAAAAAACAAAAATAATTAAAAAAAAAAAGTCCCTTCTCTTCCCTTTGTTGTTCCTTTTCCCTCTTCCCCATCCCCCATCTGAACCAGCACCTAGAGCTGTCAAAAGCTGACTCGAACTGATAAATTTAGCTGAATTCGATTATGACCCAACCTGTGTGAACCCGAGAAAATGGTGACCCAAACCCGATATGACTCGACCTAAAACCAACCCTAAACCCAAGTTAACCTGAGTATATGAGACCCAAACTCGAACATGACCCGACCTAAATATAACCCGTAAATCATTGACCTGAACCAAACCCAACCTAAATCGAGATTGACCCAAACTTGTTTTAACCCGTCGAAACCCGAATTTAACCCAACTTGTTACTAACCCGACCTGAATTCAACCCGACTTGTAACTAACCCGACCCAAATTCAACCCGACTTGTTCCTGACCCATCTCAAACTCAACCTAACATGTTATTGACCTAACCCGATTTCAAATCACCTCAAATTCATTTACGACCATCTTATTCATATATAGTTATATAGTTACGTACTCCTTTCTAAATTATTTCTACTAAGAATATGATGATCGCCGCACAAATAAGAATATAAGATAATATTATATGAATTTAATGACAATTTGTGTCAATTGTGTGCTTGTGCCAACAAGTTACTATGAGAAGTTCAATAGTCAATACATACTACTCCTTACTTAGACAAATTATAGCTATTTGCTCATTTCTAAGTGTTAGAATATATCAATCCGATCATGACCCAATGTGTTTGAACCCGAGAAAACGGTGACCCAAACAGGATATGATATAACCTAACTTGAACCAACCCGAGACTCGAGCTAACTTAGGTTTTCGAGAGTTGACCGGACATGACCTAACCTGGAGATTACCTGACCTGAATAAAACCCGGAAATTATTGACCTGAACCGAACTCGACCCGAACTCAAGCATGCCCCTAACCCTTTATAACCGGTTGAAACCCGAATTTAATTAACCTGACTTGTTATTAATTCGACCCAAATTCAACCCGACCTGTTATTGACTCGACCGGAACCTGACCCAAACTCGATAGGATGCATTACCCAACATGACCCGACCCACATTGACCTGATCCAAACCCAACCGCAAAGGTAATGATATTAACACGAATTAACCCGACCCGAGTTGACCCAACACAAACCCGACTCAAATACCTGAATTGACAGCTGTACCGGCACCCCCACCCCCACCACGTGGCCTACACCCCTAATAATCCCCCATCCATATTAATTTGCTCTTAAACTTGCATGTGTAAGGTTAAACATCAATAGAAGTAGCTAAAACGTCAATGGTTGGGACTAATTATAGTTTCATTATCTTGACTTTGGTGCCTAATCTTGCAGCATCTTTGTCGAATTGTCGTGACGGAAACTTATAGCCAAATTCATGGACCCATGAGGCCGCCATGACCCTTACATGATTTAGAGTACTTCATAATAACAATCAACTTTGATTTTTTTTTGTACAGATAAAATACATGTGGAAAATAGGTTGTACTTGTACATAGTGTAGTATACTAGTATATGTTACAAGTACAATTTTAGCTCAAATATTGCAAGTACGATCATGACGATGATTGTTGATGAAAGGGCCGGGTATAACAACATATGTTGCATGTGATAGGCAATTGGTCATTCGTGTGCATACATGCTTTAACTCTTCGTGTTTCGTTATTATCTTTGGTAAATTTTACTACACGCTCCGATGAATAAATCTAAAAACTCAATAATAAAATCATGTATCATATCTTCTTTTCGACAATCTTTGGATATCATCCTACTAGTAGATTGAGTAACCAAAGTAGACTGATAATAATAAACTAATACGAAGTAACAAGGTTAAAGTTATTAATAATGGTCCAAAGCAATATGCATGTCTCGTGTGGTATAGTAAGGATGATCAATAAATATCACTCAATTTAAGTATATTGTATGGATGGGAGATTTTAAATAAAATGTTGTTAAAAGTTCAAGTTGAAGGGGAAACAATGTCGATCAAGTTTCTGTCATTACTCATCACTCATTTTTTCGGTGTAGATTTTATCTGGTGTGTACTTATGTATATGAGTATGCTTTAAGTAAAATCACTCAAACATATAGATTAATTATGGAGGAAGCACTTTACATGAGTTGAGTGGTATGTGGTCTTGTTAGTAATTGAGGATTGATAACTCATTTCAAGAAAGACAAGTAAGTGAAGTAACATGTCATAACAATTATATCAAGTTCCTTGATATATTGATAAGTCAATGTTTTAATAAGTGAGCTACATGAATGTCAAAGTATATATGAGGCTTTAGTTTAAAGATAAAAGACTGAGAGCATGTGTATGATAGGTTACATGTTCGAATCTCCCTCACTTAAGTGTAATTCAAAGCCTTTTTAAAAAGTATAGTATATATATATGTAGGTGTATTCATGAGAGCATGAATCCTCTAAGTAACTCCAATGAAATTTTCCATCCAAAATTTATTGCACGATTTTGAATCACCTACATTATATATGAAAAATAATCATCTTGTCAAGCATGCAATTCTCCCTCAAATTTTCTTCTCATGTTACGTACTCCGTTTTGACATCAGATTTTGAGTTAGACATCCCAACAATATACTCCATATATAATATCTAGCCCTTCAAAACTTCAGCAATATACTTGGTATATAATTAACCACCACTAATCCTAGCTTATACAAATAAGTAAAGCTCCACAAATTTTTCATTCAAGAACACAATAACAATTCTCTTGTAAACAAAATGGCAGCCTCTCTATACTCACTTACTATCATCACCTCCACCATTCCTCTTAACCCAAATTCCTTATTTTCAAAGACATTGCTTCCCCCCATTGCTCGAAACCGTACACGTATGTACGGTTGTACACCAAAAATACTATGCAAAGTAGCCAAAAACGATGATTTTGATCATCAAAGCCCTAAAACAACAAATAATATTGATGACATCAATAACATCATGCTCGATAGAAGAAATATACTAGTCGGATTAGGAAGTCTTTGTGGAGCTACTACCACCACATTCACTAGTGGCTCCACCACCCTCGCGGCCCCTATTGCCATGGATGTCACTAATTGTGATGTTACCGGAGATGAATGTTGTCCTCCCATACCAATAAACATTCTCGATTTTAAGCCACCCGACAACCAAAAATTAAGACTTCGTCCTGCTGCTCATTTAGTGGATAACGAATACTTGGACAAGTATTCCAAGGCTATAAGCTTAATGAAGAAGCTCCCTGAAGATGATCCGCGAAGCTTCATCCAACAAGCCAATGTGCATTGTGCATATTGTGAGGGGGGACACTATCATCAACTAGGTTTCCCAGATTTCTATTTTCTTATACACGACTCTTGGTTATTTTTTCCTTTCCATAGGTGTTACATATATTTTTTTGAAAAGATTTTAGGCAAATTAATTGATGACCCATCATTTGCTTTGCCTTTTTGGAATTGGGATCATCCTGATGGTATGTATATGCCCTCTTTATATACAAACCCGACGTCAACCTTATATGATCCATTTCGAAATGCAAGTCATCTTCCCCCAACCTTAATGGATCTTTCCCACGACGGGGATGATAATAATGAACTCACCCCAAAAGAGTTGATAACCTCAAATTTGGCGGTTATGCACCGCCAAATGGTTTCTAATGCCAAGAACCCAACATTGTTCTTTGGTAGGGCATATCGAGCAGGCGATGAGCTACCAATAGGAGCCGGGACAATCGAGACAATGCCACACAATATAGTGCACAATTGGACAGGAGATCCAACCCAACCTAATGGGGAGGATATGGGTATCTTCAATGCTGCAGCTCGAGATTCGATCTTCTACGCCCACCATGCCAATGTGGACCGAATGTGGGTGCTATGGAAAACCCTAGGGGGTAAGAGGAAGGACATTGAAGATCCAGATTGGCTGAATGTTTCATTCCTTTTCTACGACGAAAATGCCCAACCAGTACGAATCAAGGTTCGAGATTGCTTAGATCACAAGAAACTCGGATACATATACCAAGATGTTGATATATCCCCGTGGCTTAATCTTAGGCCTAATTCTTCTAAGAATAAGCAAGATAAATTGTTGTCCGTTACAAAAAGGAGGGAAGATTCAACATCGGGGATTACACTTCCTAGAATTTTAGACTCTACTATACGGACACGGGTGGCAAGGCCGCAAAAATTAAGGAGCCAAGAGCAGAAAGAAGACGAAGAAGAGGTGCTAACGATTAACTTGGAGTTGTCGCGAAGGATAAGTTTATCAAGTTTGATGTGTACATTAATGA